GTTCCGCCGTTCCCGCTGCGAGGGACGTGTTAGGCGGCCTGGGGGACCTCGGAGCCAGGCTCAGCTCCGTGGAGCCCTCCGAGCCTTCCCAGCACCTCCCGGACCCGCTTCCCGAGCGTGCGGGGTTTTGTGCACGTTTTAGGGGGTTGCGTGAGGGCTGGAGGCGGGGGGTGAGGGGGCAGAGCCCGAGGCTTAGGAGCTGGTTCCCACCGTGGCCTCAGCTCGCTTCGGGAGTGGAATAAAGCGGAGGGAGGGAAGCTGGCAGAAAGTGGTGTGGGGAACGGGGGCGGCTGAGTTCAACCTCCCGACTCCCCTAGGGAGAAGTCGTCAGACGATGCTCTGTGCGTGTATGGTAGGGTCTGGGGATTTCTTTTTAGTTTGGGTAGAGGGGTGGGTTTTTTTGTAGGAAGTAGTGCCAAAACCTGATGTTGCCATTAGGACGTTCTGTGTATTTTTCTGGTATTTTTTTTCTTGGCTAAGATTGGAAAGAGGCAAAGAAATGCCTGGAAGCTTTAGATCAGCAGCCCAGTTAGGACTTCAGCTAAGTCAGAGGAGCGCACCTACGAGCAGGAAAAGACACCCGCAGGAGACCTTTGCAAAACAATAGTTCGTAATTGCTGCATTTGGGCTAATTTAGCACCCCCAGTCACCCCTCCTGCCCCCAGGGAAGGCTGGTGCACAGGGACAAGTGCCCATGCCATACTGGCAGCATGTCGCTGCAATCCCTTCACTGTCTTTTTTCCCAGTGCCAGCTGTGTTGCCTTCTATGTAACGCAGAGCTGGTACCTGTTGTGAAAGACGGCACGGAAAATAAAGACTCATGAGTGTGGCCTCATGTTTAATTAGAAGCTAATGTGCTATTATTATTAGGCACCGAAGGAATGTACTGGCGAAGCAGTACTTGAGCTGTTTTAAAAGCATTTTTGTAAGTATACTTTACTTTCCCCTCGCCCAGCTGGCGTGCACCACCTTTATTAGGAGGCACAAGGCTGCTGTTACCTGGCCGTGCAGCTCTTTTGCAGTTCAGGCAAATACCGCTGGAATTAAAGTATCTCAGATCTCGCTCTTCGGAGGACTTTGAACTAGAAGGGTATGGGCGTGTGCTAGGCCAGGCCAAGTGTTTAATCCCAGTGGCACAGGACTTGAGAGACTAAAAGTGGTCTGTGGTTGGATTTGCTATAGAGACTGATTAAGTACAGCTTAATGAAACATGACAACCTTATTGGTCTCAAAAGAAGTTGAAGGAAGCAGTAAGAAAATTACAGTTTTGTTTGTTTAACGAGAAGTTTCACTGTCAGCACCTTTATGAAGCTGGCTGTGATTGCCATGCTTTAGTAAGAAGTATACTGCTTTGTAACCTCCATAGATTGGCATGAATGTGGCTTCACCATCTATTCTTTAATACAGCTTCATTAGGCAGTTAGTGAACTATGCTGGAATTCAAGGAGTTGAACTAGGGGAGTTGGCTGCAGGTACACGGAGGTACCGACCTGGAGCCAGGAGCAGTACCAAGAGCCTGCTCTGCAAGCACCCATCCTCCCTTGGTTATTGCCCCCAGCCCCTGCCCTCTCCAAGGGCAGGAGGCTGGTTTTTGGTTTTTAAGAAAGTATTGGCTTTCATAGGGCTGGACTCCCACGGGAGCACTTTGACTCCTAACATCAGACGCCGAGGTAGCACTGGCATATTTGTATTGCTGCCATCAGGTACGTGCCAAAAAAAAGAGACAAGACTCAAGCAGGAGCAGCTTTCCTGGCCGGGGAGGTGGGAGCCAAGCAGGACAGCGCTGCAGGCTCGGTGGCACACATGGGGGAAACTCGGCACCCAGGAGAGGTGGGGTACGGGGCTGGGCAGCAGCCCACCACCCAACAGGGAAGATGCAAAAGCATTTGGCTTGGCTTCAAGGCAGGAAAGAAAACTGAAGTCCCTGAACAGCTGCAGAGTAAGAGGTAAGCATCCCAGTTGTACCTCAACGTGTTATACACATAAAGGCCAAGTTATGGGGCGAGGGGGAGTTATTCTATAAATTTATTCTGTAATTAACACCACCAATTCATTCAAACTCCTTAACTTCCATATAAAAGCTAAGGGGAATGTAAACCTGAGGACAGCCTTACACATCAACAGTTCGGGCTTCAACATCATTAAGCACATTACGGTTGTGTGCTGCTGCTCATCAAGGGGTTTTCAGTTACTTTAACAACTACGAAATACAGACAGATATGGAACACAAGCTTTTATTAATAACAGATCACATTTGAACTTTGAAAAGAGTGACATTAAAAGGTGTATTAAAACATACCCACTCTAAGCAGTCTATTTTCTTCAGTAGAAAAAAAGCATACAACAGATAGAAATACTATATACACAGTATATCGGTCTAGTCATCAGCCCCTCCAAACATTGTTTTGCAAATTGGTATAACGGTGTTAGAATATACCATCCAGTATGAATTTCAGCTTTTGACTTTTTCATTTAAGACAAACCACTAAGCACCTAGTTCAGCTTTTACTGATCTTAGAATATATACAAGGTGGTACTGTATATGAGGATACCAGTGTTAAGTATTTTAAGTACTTTTGGGATCCTGCCTTGTTAATAAATCTGCCTCCATCAGTTTTGAGAACATGGAAATCTGTAATTGATGTCTCCATTAAACAGAGTACCTTCTGACACTGCAACATGATTCACTCTATCATAAATAGATATGCATTAATTTCAAGCAGATTTGTGTTGTGTTTATTTTACACTGGAGGCTTTCAGCCCAAAATATAGATTGCTGCAATAAACCAGGAATCTACAGAATCTACACTTTTTTTTTTTTTAAGGAAAATAAAAAAAGCAGAATGTTAGTTCTTAAATTAGTTTGGCACTTAAAAAAAAAAACAAACAACTGTCAGGGGGAAACCCCCAAGTTGCATCCTTGTCTCACAACATCCTCAGGAGGGGAATGTTGATATACAGACAGGGCAGGCACACGCAGAATGACTGCTACAGACCATGGCAGACTCCAACTCCCAGCCTTACGTCTGGCCTTAGTCCGTGTGTGCTCTGGCTTGCACACTCAAACACAGACAGCTTCTGCTGGTTGCACCTCAGTCCATCAGCTGACACCACTGATGAGGTCATCGCACAACTGGAGACGGCCCTCATGAGTCACGCTCCAGCAGCCTTCCGGCCCCAGGTAGAAAGGTAGCAAGTGCTGTACCTTTTGCTTAAGTCTCACTTACTTAACCCCACAGTAACGGAGCCATTACTGCTCTGCTGAGCAAGCTGTAGCAGGGGCTGACACGCAGGTCTTTGCACATCAGTGTGCGCCCCGTGCTTCAGAAGAACCTCGACTGTTTTTGTGTGCCCTCCTCGTGCAGCCAGGTGAAGAGCTGTCAACCCTTCGCTGTCAGAAACATTGATATTTTCTGAACTGACAAGTTCTTCGACTACTTCAGAGTGCCCGTTTTCTGCAGCAAGATGTAACGCTGTCCTATTTAAAGGGCCTCTGGCTAGAACGCTGGCCCTTTCATCTATCAGCAACTTTGTCGTTGCTAAATGGCCGCTGCGAGATGCCAAGTGCAGAGCGGTGTATCCTTCTGCTGTTGCTGCCTCAATGTCTGCACCGTGTTTAAGGAGCAGCCTCGAGGTGCTCGTGTGGCCAGTTTCAGCAGCTATGTGGAGAGCAGTCTGCAAGAGCGCGTTCTGTATGTTGACATCCGACTCCAGGTCTATGAGAAGGCGAGCGACACGGTAGTGTCCTCGTTGAGCAGCCAAGTGTAGCGAGGTCCTTCCATCCACGGTTTGCACATTCACGTTTGCACCCCGCTGCTTGGCCAGAAGCTTTACGATGGGGAGATGACCTTGCCAGGCAGCATAGTGCAGTGGCACCCAGTCATCCTTTCCTTTGATGTTCACATTAACGCCTCTTCTCAGCAGGATCCGCACAATATTCTCTTGGCCATACTGACAGGCTATGTGGATGGGGGCCCTGCCTTCAAAATCTACCTCATTTAAAGATGCATTCTTATCAAGCAGCATTTTGGTGCTGAAATCATCCCCGTTTTGGGCAGCAAAGTGAAGAGCAGTCCACTGATCCTCATCTTTGGCATTAACGTTGATTTTCCTAGCCATAATTAGCTCCACAATGCTTTTAACTTTCTTCTCAATAGCTATGTGAAGAGGAGTGGATCCTTTCTTGTTGGTGAGGTTAGGATTAGCATTGTACAGGAGGAGCCATTTGACACATTCTTCTTGACCAGCTTCAACAGCCAAGTGCAAAAGACTGGAGTTCCCATCTAAAACAATATCAACATCTTGAGGCTGGAGGATCTTCATCAGCTTGCTGGTATCGCCAGATAAAATGGCCTCCGTTAGCTTCCTCTTCTGTATGTCTGTAGTACCAATATCTAGATGGATATAAGGAAGAAATTTTTTTTACAATGAAGGCGGTGAAACACTGAAACAGGTTTCCCAGAGAGGTGGTAAATGCCCCATGTCTGGAAACATTCAGGCCGGACAGGGCTCTCAGCAACCTGATCTGCTTGAAGATGTCCCTGCTCATTGCAGGGGTTCGACTAGATGGCCTTTAAAGGTCCTTTCCAACCCAAACTATTCTATGAAAAAGACGACACCATCACAATTCTGGTACCCGTCAAACCTTACTTGTGCATGGCTAACGTATCATCTGGTGGCTTCAGCAATGACTTGACTGCAAAGAAATCCACCACACCACCCCACCCCCAGTAGTTTCAGAACAATTTCAGGTCAGATTTGGAGCCCCACTTACTCCTAACTCTGTTTCTTGTGAAACGAAGAATGAAGGATGCTGTGGTTGATCTCCCTGCACTAATGATTATTTGCCTAACTGGAAAATAGATGCCTGGATTTTGCAGCACTCGATTGAAAAGGGAGAGGTGTCTGTGCAACAGTGGGGGTCTTTATTACAGCGTTCGTGGGGGCTGCTGAGAAGGTGACTTGGGTCTTCTCAAAAAAAAAAAAAAAAAAAAAAAAAGAGAGAGAGAAAAGAGAAAGGTTCTCAGACTTGGGTTTAGTGTAACTGAAAGAGCTACAAACTCAGCTGACCTCACTGGGCACGGGCTTTAGTCCCACTTTGAGCAGGACCTGGACTAGGTGACCTCCCTTCCGTAATTGCTTTGATGGGAATTCAGGTTACTTCTTTTCAAAAGTAAATGAGATTTATTATTTCTCATTAGATCACCTTTGGGAACCACTGACAGCAAAAGAAAGCAAGGCTAACAGGGATTTCCAGAATGCTATTCTTTATATACCCATCGACTCCCATGCCCTGGTCCAAACAGCTACAAAACCACAACAACGAAGAAAAACCTGACCGTTACCTGAACTCTCCCTTTCAAAGGAAAGGGAAAGGGAGCCTCTGGATGAAAAAGCTGAATCTACAGATGAAACTCCTGAAAGTCGCTTGTCACTGGAGGCAAGTTTGGACTCAGAAGAGCTCCGGTTGAGATCCTCAGGGCCTTCCATAGTCTGTGAAATCCCCGAATCCAGCTGGGACAACAACTCTGAGAGACTGTAATCCTTAACTGATGGTAGAGCAGACTCCTGCTTCATCTGGGATAATGCAGAAATCCCCTTCAAGAGAAGCACACAAGCGTTTTAGAAAGGACAATAAAAAAACCTGAGCATGAGGCTCTACAGGAAGAAACACAAGTTTGTTAGTTTGCACGTAGCCTTTTGCGTTAAATGAAACCTATGAATAAGGTCACTGAAAATTTTCAGATGCAGGAGGGCAGCTTTCATCAGTACTGACACAGCCACTAAAGCCGCATGGCCGCACTGCTCTACAGCTTTTTTTTTTAATATCAGTCACACCTACATCGTTCCAGCCTTTTATTTCCTAACTGTCCTGCTCTCTCTCAACAGTCTAAGATCCACTTGCACTTAGTCCTGTGCACTGAGGTTTTCCTGAGCTGGTCCATGCATCTGCTCTCACTTTTGCATTCCAGTTCTTCACCCAGACTCACTTCTCTCAGGCAAGAAGGTGCTCAAAAGCAGCAAAGAGAAGGTTGCTTGGGAAGTTACAGGTCACAGAGGAACCTGTTCCTCGCAAAACCTAGTGTGCTTGAACAAGAGGCAGAAAGAGAAAATACCTCGGCCTGCTGCTCTGGGGAATTCTTGGTGTCCAGGTCCTGAGTTATCTCTTTTGTTTCATCTTCTGGTTTTTCACAAAGGGCCTCTGTTTCTGAAGTGATTTCTTTGAAGAAAGCAAGAGAAGGTTTTGGTTGGTCTTTTTTAATAGGAGACTTTTCTGAGATGCCCTGCTGCCTTTCTCTATCATTAGAGCTTAACAGCTTTGAGATACTGGGGGAGAAAGACTCCAACTTTGAACGATTCCATACAGCACTTCATCAGTAGGTACAAGCGTGTAGCTAAGCAAAGAGTGCACTGACAGCAAAAGAAAGCAAGGCTAACAGGGGCTGACTGAACAATGCATTTTCACACACAGACCCGACTGATGTGACATGGTGGCTACACTGCAGGACTGTGAAATGGGAACCAGTCCACTGCTGGCAGAGTTAAACATATGTTTTAAAAAAAGATGGGATCCCGCTTCCCTTCGGTCCCCGTACCTTGTTTGGGCAGGAAGAGAAGGAAGAGGCAAATCTCTCTCATTAACGCTAAATGAAGCTACCTGGAGATGGCACTTGCTACACCCTTCTGCACATGTGAGTTCACAACAGGTGCTTTGGGCAAGTTCAAGCCTTTCAGCAAAGTTGCCTTTTATTGGCAGAAAATGACAGTACAAATTGTTTTGTTACAAGAAAACAATTGAGTTTCTCACCATACAACAGTAAATTCTAAGAGCCAGGGCCTTCAACCCTTTGGTACGGTAAAAACCACACCAACTCCAGCTTGGCATATGCCCTGATACACACATTCAGAAATGAACATTATTTCTGCCTAAATGGATCAACTGGTTCAGTACAGGTCTTATTCCTGACGTGTTTATGTAAACACCGTCATGGTCAGACTTGTCCCCAGATAATCCCTTCCTCCAAACACGAATAAGTGGCCTGTATCATTGTCTCTACCATACAATGTGTTCTATTTATTCTGTCACAGAGGTTCACAGCATTTACCCCAAGGATTAACAGAGTCCTGAGCAATAACATGACTCATAGAAGAATAAATGGGCAGCCAAGTTACGAGGAAATCTTACCTTGAAATGTTGGCCGTTCACCCGGATCATCTTGCCAACATTTTTGCATCAGTTTGATCAAGTTATTACATGACTGAGGTCTGGATTTGGAAACAGCAGGTAGCTCTGGGCGGTGGCCTTTAACTACTTTTACCATAATATGTAAAATGTTGTTTTCCTCTGTAAAGCAAAAGCACACAAATAAAGATCTGCCAGCACAAGGAATGATTTCTGTCTAAGAGCATTAACAGTGTATTAGGCTGAAACTTTGTTTTCATGCATTTTTTCTAGATTTAGAGCGCTTTCTTTTATCAACAGGGAAAAAGAAGTTGGTTTTATTCTCTCACAATACATTCGTCAATGCAGTAACACCTACATCCCATGTATCAGTTAAAAACAATTGTCAGTGAGTGACTCTGTTCTTTTTCCACTCATAAGAGACATAGAACCAAAGGAAAAAAAAAACACAAACAAAACAACCAAAACTCAATCAGTTCTTTGCTATCTCTCTTTGGATTTCTGTATCTACTGTAAGAAACCTGAACCGCAGCTTTTATTTAGACCAGGTACCCGAACTTTTCATAAAGGTAAAGGAAGAACACAAATCAGTAATGTGACTCTGGACTCTGAAGTCAACCATTGGGCTAAATGAGCTCTCTCACTTGGAGAAAAATTAATAGTAGACTGGAACCTGTTCAAACACGTTTGCTATACATAGGCTAGTCATACACACAGGAAAAGTCATAAAGAATAAATAGCTGCCTGTTGATCGGTACATTTACTGTGGGGTGGAACAAGGTTTATTCTCACAGACAGCTTTTTTTTTTTTTTTGAGAGAACAAATCTGTACCCACAATCTACAAATAAACTCCAGAACCTCTCTACAGAGAAGCTGTTTCCGAGAACAGCAGGGTTGCCTGCCAGTTGGCTTTGCTCCACGCTGTTCCTAGCTGGCCGCAAACATGTCAGAAGTCTGCACAGGCCACGCACCGATCTGGATCCGTACAGCAAACGCCAGCAGAAGCAAAAAGGTGCAGACGGGCCCCCTGCGGCATTATGGGTTCTACTTTCACGATGTAGGGCAAGGAGGTCTTACATTTGTGATCAGAATTTGAGAGCTTAAAAGTGTCTACCACGCAAGACTGCAGGAATTTGGAGAACATGTATGTGATCTGGGGCTGGTGGGGCAGGAAGAGTGCTTATCAATGGGAGAAAGGAAAAAAATTCCAATGCAACCCACAATACATCAAACTTACCTGCAAAAGGCTTCTTCTGTGTAAGAACTCCCCAAACTACGATGGAAAAGCTACAAATAAATGCAAAAAAATTATTTCTAGAAAAGCTTTTAAAAAAAACCCAACCAAACCATAAAGCCAAAACACTCACAGAACTATAATTTATTTTCCTAAGTTCTTTTTGTTTCTCCTTCACTTCTGCATCTAATTCAGCTGATGAACACACACAGCAAGATGCAGCCAAGAACCATGATTTGAAAGTCTAGTTTTTGCAGGGAGGAACCTGAGACAGCGAACAGAGGGACTTGCTGGAGGCTGCTGAGTTCCTAGTAACATTTACCAAGTACTCCACACCAACACTGACAAAATAAGAGAGCAGCAGAGCATTACTGTGGATTTTATTTAATACTTCTACCCTACAAGACAACTTTAAAGAAATACATTCCACTTAGAATAGGACGTATCTTTTAATCTACAGCTCTGATTTCCTTTTCCTAATAACCTTATGAAAGAACCACCAAAGACCTAGTGATGAAATCCACTGAAGATAACTTAAGAATTTTGTCACAGACTCAAAAAGTAGGTCAGGATGTACCTTTTGATGGGGAAATTAAAGGTGGGCAGCGTGCCTCCCATGCCAGTTGCTAATAAGTAAGCGTTACTTGAACAATAACACTCAAGATCCAGGATCAGCTGCACTTTCTTAAAAGGCCTCTACCCTATAATGACTTTGCAAAAAGCAAAGCAAACATGACCCTTTGCAAGATGAGGTTCAAACTAGATTTAGGGGTTTCATCCTTAATTAGGTTTTATAGCCATAAAGAGAGGGCTCATTTTACAGCATTACTTAAAGTGCTTTTAAGTGTTTTTGTAGTTAACCGACCTGTACACATCGTGTTTGGTGTCAAAACACCTGTTTTTCTCTTTGATGCGCTCTGGAGGAAGGTACGCAATTGTGCCACACAAGCCATCCATGCTGATGTCATGGGAATGGGACAAGCCATTGCACTTTGCAAGTCCAAAGTCAGAAATCTGCAAAAGACGGAGGAGGAAGAGGGGAAGAGAAGTGCACGCTACCATTAGACTTCAGTGGCGTTAACAAAAAATTTTCTGTAAAGAACGATAGATGTAACAGGATAACCCAACAAAATATATCAAGCTGCCGTTCAGAAATATTAAGCTAAGAAAACATCTCTGGAAGCATTACGCTATGGTAGGCTTTTCTTTACGGTTAAACTGGAAAAGAAAAAAGCAAGCAGGTTTTTGCAAGCAGCAGCATGTTAGCCCATTACAGCAAACACAACAAACAGTCAAGACAGTTTATTGTAATTTAAAACTAGTCAAATTTAGGTAGTGCAAACTACTTTAACGTAATTATTGGTCCTGCCACCTCCTTTCCCTATGTAACCTCCCATTGTATGCCATGTTTAAGTGTTCCGAGCACCTGTTTTCCGACCATGAGCTCTCCAGCGAGTGCAAGAGAATTGCCCTTTCAGATATCGCTGTTACACTGACCACGTCAACAAGGACTAAGCCCAACACCAGAGGCACCAAGTGTTCAAAAAACCCAAACCAAAACACACACACCCCCCCCAAAAAACCCACACAGGGAATTCTTTTTGGCAACTCAAAGCTATGGCAAGTTGGTGCAGTGACGCAGTGAACACAGCTGAAATGAACAAAACAAGTGACAGCAAGTCACAAAAGGAAAACACACCTCCACTTTAATTTGAAGTGTCTAACAAATATGCATTCATTTGCTCTCAAAGGCATACCAATCATCAAGCAAACAGATAGGCAAGGAATTTCCTTTGTCTTATTTATTTCCCACCGGTCAAAAAGGTCTATTATGCTAAGTGGAAATCTCAGGAAAAGTCAAGTCTTTTTTGGACCACTGATTTTTGTCTGCATGTTAGATAAGATTCACCCCCCCACACACCCCGACTTATACGTTCTTTTTATCTAATAAATACTCAGTTTTTTCAATGACTCATTCCCCTTTTGATCTTCACAGTTTCTCCTTTGAGAAAGTTCTCCCTCAAAACAACAAGCATAATTAAAAAACGCCTTTTTTTAAATAGGCTCCAACTTTACACTTTCAGAAGCTTCTGTCTAAAGATACCACAAAGCTAGTCCTAACATGCATCCATTACTGGAAAGGGAGAAAACCGCTGCCAGCTTCAGCCTCCTGGAGAACAGGCAGGGTACGGAGCCATCGGTCTTCAAACGCTAGGAATCTCCCTTTGCCATAAAACAAACAAATCAACCCACGCAGCTTCAGGAAGAACTTCTCCCAGGGACAAAGAGCTCAACAGAAGCGTTTCTCAGGAGCTGCAGAAGTCCTGTACCCTAGCACACAGGTACATCCAACCTGTTGTCCACCTGTATGTTAAATCCATAGGGTAATGTGGGAATGATTTGAGAAGAAAAGAAAACGAGGGGAGGGAAAGCAAAGTCATCTGGAGGAACAGTTTCTCATGCTTGTAGGGCTACACTCTCCGGGGGGTTGCTGGCCTCCTCTGCAAGCCAAGCACTGGAGTCCAGGAAAGCAGTAAGTAGTCACGAAATCCAGGTTCACAAGGCAGCTTACCCTTGGGAAGAGCTGAATGGAGCGCCCCATGAAGTGCTGCGTGAGTTTGGGGCACTTAGTGCTCCCCAGCAGAACAAAAGCACAACCCCAACATCACACAAGCCCTTGGTTCGTTTATGAACCTGACATCGACTGCTGCAAGTCCGAACAGATCCGACTTGGTGAAGCGCTGCTATCCTTTGATTAACGCGAAGCAGAGGCTTGTCTACGCCTCAAGAAATCCATATGGCATGCAGGCATAATTAAAGTAATACACCTTCCTCTTTGTCTAAACAATACCAGGCTTCCTACTGTGTAAGTTAAGAAATAAAGATGAAATACAAACAGCACAGTGACACTCCTGCGTTAAGAGCCACCAGCTATGTTGCTAGACCGATGAATCTAAGGCTAGGGGCTAAGGCAGGAGGCTGACGGAAAAGGTCTTGGTCTCGGCCTACAAACCAAGCAACAGCTAAGGTACATAGTGTACCCCACCCAGGCTAGCAACAGCTTTACCTTGTGAACCTGCCCCTACCTACTGTGAAGGACTAGGTTTTATACCAATTAATAGGAAATTCATCTCCAGATCAGAGCTTCAATCCTATCAAATCCTGCCGAAAGCACTGGAAATGGAAGAATTGTTCTCTTCCAGGCTGCAACAAAATAGTAAGATTCCGCAGACTACTTCTGCGTTTTTTTATTAGTTCCTTTAGGGTAAATTTTCCATACTGCACGGTGTATTTAGTCATGCAGTTTCTTTAAACATCAGTGGGAACTGTGCAGTGGGTGGAAGGCACAGCCATTTAACTTGCCTATTTTGCCTTTAAATTGCTTGCCAGATACCTAGTTCTGCAACACAAGGCACCCTTGCTGGTGAAGGTCGTGAAAGCGGAGCACCCTTCCCCGCTTCTTCCTCCGCATCCCTGCTAGCCCTTGCAGCCCACCCCGGGATCTGCCCTGCCCCACAATCCAACAGAACCCCTCATCTCACACCTCACATCAGTTATTTCAGGTGGATCCCGTCGTGCTTCAAAAGCGTACCTAATATCAGCAGAGTTAAGAGGAGACACGGAGGCGACAGACTGCTTCATGCAAAACACGTGGTGAAGAGGCAGGAAGAAGCCAAAAAAAAAAAATAAATTGGCCCAAGCCCACGCAGACAGTGGGATTGTTCAAGTTCAGACAGCTCGCTCGGTCTCTGCTCTTTAAAGGTCTGCATGAGAACACACACGTGAGTAGCAACTGGGGAGGGGACTTGTATATGTTTTCCTGCCCACTTCCCAGCAACACTTACTTTACTGAGAGATCCCAAGAGCTGAAGATTTTTTTTTTTTTTCCCTCGTTTTAAATCGAGCATACTGTGTACACAGGCCTTTCTCTGCTTCGGTCATTTGTGGACGTTTCCATTCTAGTTTGTAAAAAACGCTCACATGCAAAGTTTTAGATGCTTTGAGTTTGCCCAGTTATTTTTTGAAACTCTTTTTTTTTTAAAAAAAAAAGCTAGTTGAGATGCTCAGGTAACTACAGTGGTTACCAAAGTCCCAAACACTGCAGGGATCTAGTTCCCAGGAGCAAAATCAGTGCTTGGCAAGCGTTTTCACTCCTGATAGCCCATCCTGAAGCGTGCACTTAGCTTCCGATGCTGCAGGTCATTTTTCTGCAAATAAGACTGAAGAACCCACTGCGATGGACTCAGAGACAGAGTTCACCAAAAGGTTTTCTTCATCAAATAGGTAACAAAGCCACCAGATTAATTTTTAATCGCTGCTGGCATATCCAGTATTTGTCTCTGTCCAAAGTCTCCGTGCACCTGGATATTGGGAATGCCACCACATTTGTATACAGGGTTTTCAGGTGTTCGAGGAGAGGGGGCTGGCCTTGTTTGTTTGTTTATTTTTCTGGGGGTAAGGGAGAAAGGCTGGTTGTTTCAATTTTGTTCCTTAAGAAAAGCCAGAAATTTTTGAGAGACTTACATGGGTCACAGATTTGGGCTACTAAAAATTAGGAATGAAAATTAATTCCCAGTGTAGACACAACCAGCATCCGCACTTCAAACATATGCCTTTAGTTCAGATTTTACGAACACAGTTCGGTTAGCTACTAAACGAAGTCTTTCTCAAACAGATTGTATTTCCATCCTTTTCCAACCTGCCCTGAAACCTCAACTCCTCAAAACCTGTTTCAGATGTGGTGTTTGTAACGCTCTCTTCAGAAGTGGCAGAAACCAAAGCCACGGTCAAACATCCATTTTGAACCATCATAAATTTGCATTACCATAACAGGGATGGTCTTGTTCCCTCCCCTGTGCCACCACAATTAGATCAATTAGAGAACTGATCAAGGTGAAAACCAGCTTTGTTGGTTGGAATTAAAGAGCCATGTGACAACAGCCCTACATGGAAACCTTGATCAGGAGGGGTGGGAAACAGGGAGAAGGGACACACAAAACACAGCCTCTTCTCATTTCTAATAACAGGAGAGCATTTGCAGCTGATAATAAAAAGTGGCTGTGTTAACTACACCAGTTAGTCTAATAAAGAGAGACAACCCCTCTTTACCAGCCTGGCCTCTGGGTATTACTTTGACTTACGGTTAACGACCTACATTAAGAAGCTTTTTGATAAACAAATTTGCCATCTGACTAGGCTGCTTCTAACTCCACACTCAGAAATTTTGCAGGCCCTTCTTCAGCTGAAGCAAATAAAGGTGAAGACCACAGAGGCAACCTATCCATCTTTAGTAAGACCATCAGCACAGCACAACACAGCAGCAAGCTTTAGTCTTCACACCGGTTTAAATTGGAGCACAGGGGAGAAAAAAATAAAAGCAACTACAGTGAGCTGAAAGCAGTGCACAGCTGAGACCAGCTCATCCCACTTCAAGTTCTTTAAAAACAAAATCTGGGAGATGAAAAATAACTGGTGGGATTTGCCTCTGTGTGTGCGTGTACCCACACATATATACATACGTGTGTGTGTGTATATATACATATACATAACAAGATGAAGAGCTGCAAAAAACAGGCTGGATAGTAAGAGAGACAAGAACTTACAAATCATGCTTTTGCCTAAAAGTATTAAGTTGCAGGTTGACTTCATTTTAAATACCTGAACAAAAAGTAACACTCTTGACCATGAGATACTGAAGATAAGAAACCTGGGAAGCAGCAATAGAGAGAGCATGTGGGCATGGAGGCTGGCAACAAGTTAGGGTATGGGATTACTGCAGGGGGGGGTGTATTCTCCTACTGGGGGCCCTGGAGAGTGATCGCATCAGGGCAGGGAACAAGCAAAGCATCAGCCCGCAAAGGCAGCGCTGGAACGTGGCATTGCTTCCCCAGCCCCAGCTCCCCGCAAGCGATCGCCACATCACACGGAGCTCAGGGGAGGCATCCAGAATGCGTACGGAGGGCAGGAGAGCTGAAGAACAAGCTCGTAAGATGTGGTCCAGTTAAGCAAAAAGTAGGTGTTAGACAGCCCGTAAGTATTGGAAGGCTGCATATATGGAACACTGGAGAAAGGGGCAGGGGGATCTTGTTGGTACGAATAGAAGTAACAGGTTGACATTGAGAAAAAAAAAGAAAATGCAGGCTGATCCCTGCTAGCAAAGCCTGCCTGGGTATGCAATAATCCTCCCAAAGAAACCAGCTGCTTAAGGCAACCAATATGGAGCAGGACATGGCAGGGAAGGGAGCTCCCAGCCTCGGCTCCTGTTAGGACTGAGCTCCACCACCACTCCCAGGGGAGGAGGCATCCATCCATCCTCCAGAAAACAGCAAAGCCTTACCTTGCATTGTATGTATTATATACATATATTTAAAATCACCAAGGAATCTCCCAACATGCCTTTGAAAAAGTTAATATCTGTCTATCTATAATCCCTGCTCAGCGGTCAGGCTAATCCCATCCTCTTAATTATCCTCCCAAGAAGAAAAATTCAGCACACACTTATGTAATACAGAGGAGACGGCTTTATGATATGGAGGCACCCACTTGATGATAAGTTCTATGCAACACTGCTGCGTTAGTCATCATCCTCACTTGGGGTTTGTACAGTAAGCATTGTGCTTGTAAAAGAAGAAGGGCGTGTTTCCATTTAACTAGCAATACGGCACAGAAGCATTTCTAATGTGCTCCACTGAAGACTGTCTGTTTCCTGGCTCAAGGGCAAACAGTTTATAAAAGTCCTCCCTACCTCCAAACTCTTCTTTCGCAGCCTGCAACATCTCTTCACTCACCTTAGGATTCTATTAGGGACAGGTCACCTACTAAATCAATGCTAACATTTAAAAAGTAAAAACCCTTCAATCATCAGCTCCATTAGCCTTCCAGCAAGAAAACGTACATTAAATCGAGCTGCCGGGTCTGAAATTTAATTACAAGTTTCACATCACACAAAAAGAAGGTTTGGGGCCACATTTTTAAAGTGAAGGTGCCTCAAGGAATATGTACATCTCTTACTTTGCATATAGGTTCCTATGACTGCTTTGCTGCTTGGAGGGGTTTCCAAGACGCCTGCAGATGTAAAACACTGCTGGCTGGAAAAAGGTTTGGATTAGACCACTCTTTTCTGAACTTAACGGACAGGGTCCGAAGACCTTTGTGTGTTTTACATACAGAGCAAGTAGCAACGGTTTAGGGATGTCAACAATGACCTCACTAGAAACATTTTTGGTTTGGTTTGGTTTTTGTACATTTTGCACTTTGCCCCCTTGTATTACATCACCACCCAGATATAGGCTATACAGCAGGCAGAATATCAGGCAGCATTTCAACCTCCTGAAACAGTGAGAAAAATACAGCCTTCATATCTGGGCTCATGGATGAGTCAAGAATTAGGAATTTAAGAAGTTATGCAAGCAAGCACAAACTTTAGGTAAATACATACTTAGCAAAGGCCTCTCAGCAACAGTGTGTGAGAATATACTTTCAACAGTTCAGATCCTGATGTTCTGGTCATAATACCATGGACCACGTGTAGATGCCTATCTCAGAAAGGAAATCCTCCTAAGAAGTAAACCACTAAGAGGCCTAGTAAAAAAGCCGAGACTGTCAGAGGTGTGATTTCATTAGAGGAACACACCTCTTATGGCTCCAACCCTCTCATGACATCAGAAGAGATGTTTTCATTTAATGAAAACTTCATTTTTAGAATGGTACAGCAAGAGCAACGCCATTTGGCAAGTTTGAAGGGGGCAGGAAAACAGGGAGCAGATAGATGATAAAAATCTATGACTACTTGTACCGAGTTATATCAGCCAGCCAGTATGATTAATCCTCCAGTTCTAAGGTTAAGAGTTTGGCCATTGATTTTGGGGGGGGTGTGGGGGGGTGGAATTCAGGAAAAAGATGTATTTCAATCTCTTTCCTCTCCAAAAGGAAGAATCAGAAAGCAAGCACAACCTCCTTAGCCCAGCTGTCAAAACAGAACCTCCGACAGATAAAGCCAGTAAGTTTGCTAGCTTACTCTGGAAATGGCTAATGAAAAGAATTTACTGCTGATACAGCCACAAAATTTCCCTTAAGTGACCTCTGGTATGCATAAAGAGTCAGGACAGAGATACTTCTTCACTGGATATGGTCTGAGCAAATGAAAGAAGAAAATGAGTTGCTTCTGGGAAGGCTTCTCCAGACTCCAGCTGTAAATGAGATTTCCGTATTTAGTGGAGCATACAAAGCCAGAAGGACTTAGACAGAACAAGGTTACCACTGGGAGCTGTGGAAGAGGCATAGAGGATTTAGAGGTTCACACTGGTTTTCTCTCCCTGTTCTCATCCGCCTCATGACCCTACTGCAAGGAAGTTTATAGCAGGACCTGTTAGGTCTCAAAATCAGAGTTCACACTAGCACTCTCCTAAAATGTCAGGAGAGGTCTCTCAAGCTCCCTAACTCTACCTCTATTTATGTACCAAAGTGGTGCACAAATCAGGTAGACAAGTTTTGGGACTGGAGGGGTTGGGTTGGTGGGCGTTTTTCTAATTCAAAAGGAACGCTCCTGGTTTCTCTCACACCTTTGAGTTTGGCAGGAGCCATGCAAGAATATCCAAAGGAGAGTCCCTGGCACAGAGTGCCCAGTGCGTACCTTGACATGGTAGTGGGCATCAAGCAGGATGTTTGCAGGCTTGAGGTCCAGGTGGAGCAGCGGAGGGGACATGCAGTGCAGGAAGTTCATCCCCACAGCTGTCTCGTGGATGATACGGAAGCGCAATTCCCAGGGCAGCGGTTCGGAAGCCAGGAGCTTTTCCAGAGACCCCGTTTCCATGTATTCCATGACCAAGCCAACTGGCTCTTTACAGATGCCGTAAACAGGAAGGATGTAGCGAAACTTTGCCATTTCCATCTTCCTGGCTTCTTCCAATAACTCCATGCGCTCCCTGGGTAGAAGAGAGCAGACGGTGAAGGATGGAGTAACTGTTTCTCCCCACCCCCTCCCTCAAAACATGCACAAAACATTTTTTGTGAAACCAAACACCACACTTCACAATCATCGCTTGGCTGAACCATGCTACATCTCACCAGCCTGTACTCCAGGCATATTTCCACATCTAATAACTTTGTTTTCTGCTTCTAATGGTAGGCAGTAACCACAGGCGATTTATACACTTCAACAGTGCAAATATCCCTAGCGTAAAGCCCAGCTCCCCGCTTTGATGTTTATGCTGAGCTGTTAAGAACAAGGACGACACATGTAGTGCCCAGATTTACCACTGCTGTAACTCCTTGGGCTAAAGTCATTAACTTTTGGTGAGTCATGAGACTGCCTTCATCAGGAGAGAGCACGGACAGCATTGCTTCAGCTGCCCTGCTGGCACAGGCTGCCAGTGCCCAGCCCCAAACCTTGGGCGAGGAACCCCCAGGACACAGCATTTCGGGGAGCAGGCTGCCTGCTGTAGCTAGGGCGACACAGCAAAAAGCCTCCTTGTCCTCAAACCTCAGATTTAACAACTCCAATGCTATGCTCACTCAGCTCCAGCGGATGCCGAAAACTCCCGGCATGCCATTTTTGGTGATGTAACAGACCCAGCGCCGGCACACGTAATGAGCACCCCTGGGTTGTTTATGGGTCACTTTAGCCTGACCCTGCAGAGTGGTAAGCGTTACTCAGTCCAAGCTGCAGCCTCCCAGGTCAAGACCCTTAATTGCCATGCCCTCCTTCTGCACCTTCGGGCTGCAACAGCCTGTGGGGACCCACCGGGCATCGAGTTGGAAAGAGGAAACCAGAGTCCTCTCCCCAGGCCGACTGCGCCCACAAAGAGAAGTCACACGTGACGAGTGGAAGAACCTTCAGTCTGTCAAAAACTGCATTATTAGTGACGATGGGCAGTAGCCAGAGCAGCTTTGGGTCACGGGTACTGATGCATCACTGTTGCTGCCACCCACTGATCCACAAAAGAGGACACGGGGAGGTCAGATAGGTAATATACCCTGAAGAGAACCCTCTCTTATTACATGACAGCTCTTGTAACGTACCCAAGGTATGTATGCTATTTAATGGAGAACAGTACCTGAAGTAATGGGACAAAGTTTTAGCACAGATGCCTGGTAAATGGAGAGTCCTACTTTAAAAGAAAAAAAAAAAAAAAAAAAACACAACACATTGCTTTGATGCTCCCCCACCCCACACAGGTGTTTTGAGATGACCAGCTCTCCTGGAAGATGTCAGCGTTTAAATACAAAGCTCAGTGAGCACATTCACAGAGGCTGCAACACGTGATCCGAAGATGCTCATACCCTCTACAAGGCAGAAAGTTCTGTTGCCTGCTCCCTCTGCCAGTCCCCAAGAGCTGGAAAACACCTGGGGACTGATCCTGACCCACAGTTTGTGCCCTGTGCCACTAACAAGTGATGCCAGTTACCACTGTGGGAGCCTCTGCCATGGCAGAGCTATCAGCTCAAACTTTAGCCCTTAGGCTCTGCATGAGGACATTCCCGTGACCCCATCACTTTCCCCTCTGCTTCGCCTGCTGTGGGAAGGGCAGAGTTGATGTTTGCCCACACAAGGTTGGAGACGCAGTCTGCTGCCTGTTCCTCACCAGCTGGAGCAGCCTGCAATAACCCGATGCAGCTAACATTTCACCCGAGGGGCAAGCCTAGCCTAGCAAGAAGCAGTAGATGTATTTCAGAGGCAAGATCAGGCTGAAAAATAGTTTAAGAGGGATGTACACACTGGGAGAAAAAAAAAGATAAGGGAAATCTTTTCTCCCTGTTAACCGTGTTGGCTCCTGCTGCTCCCTACAGCAACTTTCTTGTGAAATAATTGCCTTTGTAGACAAGTATCCAGTTTGCTCTTTGGCACGCTGGAAGGGAGCGCCTAGGAATAACACAACCAACTCCTTGCCCCCAAGCCACATGCATAGCCAGCATAATTCACCAGGCGGGCTGAGCTCTGGAGTCAGGGATGTAAAATACCTGTCTGAGCCCTCCAAGGCAAGGCAAGAACCCAGCAACAGCTAAAGCCTAACAAGAACCACTAGACTCCGGGGAACGGGGTTCCTGGGCTAACGACAGCCTCAGAGAGCATCACCAAAATCACAGAGATCGGCTGCTCAAAATGTGGCATCTTCCCTACAAAGAGAGAATTTACAGTTTCAACAAAATGTGGGAAAAAAAAAAAAGCTCCCTTTCTGCTTGGACGAGACCCAGTCAGTTGAGAGAATTAACTACCAGGCAAATGCCCTTTATCTAATTTGCCTGTTTAAATAAAACCCCCATACAACAATTGCCACCGTTAACATCTTCCCATACCCAGAGCTTCAAAACTGAATCAGCCAGTGATCTGGTACAGCCAGGGAGATCTGTCATTTTTCAAATACAGGCCCCTGACACCTTTAGAAAACAGAAAAGGAAAAAAGACAAAAGAAATAGAGAGCCAAAATACAGCTCAGTCAGTAGCCAAGTGCTGGAGTGCACTCGCATTAATTGCACAAAGACAAGCAGCTCGTTACACCAAGATCTCCTCCTCCATCAGGCAAAGATGAAAGGTCTTTCCCTTCCCTTTTCCCTCATGGCAAGGTACTGCTGGCACAGCCTGAGGTGCTCTCAATGCGCAAGTGCTAATGCTGCACCAAAGGATGCTGTAGGTATCTGTAGGTATCCTTCAAGCTTACA